CTTTCTTTCTGGAAGTGGGAAAGTAAAAGAGGGTATTGCGAATGAAAGTCCATCTAAAGCATGCCATACAAGCTTCTTTACTACTGAGCTATACCCTCCCCCCTGAGCCACTGTTAATTCTATTCTCTTCCCCAGCAACCTCTGAAGCTTTGACTTTACAATAGGTATCCAACCAAAGAACTTCTCTCACCACTACTGCAACCAGTCTGGAATTCTAACTGGTTCCCTTACCTCCTCCTGACCAAGAAAGGTCCTTAAGGCCCTAATGTCTCTGCTTTTGGCCATCACAATCTTATCTTCTTCCTAAAGACAGGACAACCACAAGTCTGTCTGCTTGCCCTAGTAGGGCATAGTGACAAGTCTTGTTTTCAATTCTTTTGCCTGACCCACCTGTTCTAACCACTCTGGTCTCTACTTAAGTGTTCTTTTAGACTGGTCTTTCCTTTACCTTTCCTAAGCCACCCATAGTTCCCACTCAGCTTATGTGCCTAGTTGTCAACTTCTTGCTGTAAACTCATTCATATTATCTGATCTGAAACAAGAGTCTCTTACACTCACCTGGTTCCAGTGTGTTTGGGAGAGTCTCCTGCAATGCAAAAAGGCTCATGCATGGTTAAAAGGAGCTCAAACAGCATTTTTTTTCCGTCACCCTCTCTCCCTTGGGAGGTTTCAAAGCCATGTTTCTAAGGCACCTCCTCATTGTTTTCTGTGATGCTCTAAGATGGAAAATGGCAAAGTTTTCTCAAAAATCAAATCAGTATTTCAGACTTGCTAATCTCCAAACTCATGATCCTACTTCTATCCAACAATCAGCTAGGACAGTATGTAAACATATTTGGGCATAAGGCTAAGGTATGGCTTAAAGGCAAAGTGGTTGCTTAGTAACCCTGGCATTCCTACCACAAAAATAATAGTACAAACAAATGGGCATGGTTATGTCCCAATTAAATTGTATTTATTCATCAGGCAGATGACAAGAGTCTTGGCTAGTTTTCTGGGTTTTTTGCTTTTTATTGTGACAGGGGAGCCTCAATTGAGAAAATACCCTCAAATGACCTCTAGGCATGCTTGCTCTGCATTTTCTTGGTTGACCTTTGAAATGGAAGGGCCCAGTTTACTGAGGACAATGCCTCTCCTGGGTAGACAGATAGCCCTGACTGCTGTAAGAGAACATACTGAGGAAGCCATAGGGAGCAGGCCAGTAAGCAGTGTTTCCGTAAGGCCTCAGCCTCAGTTCCTGCCTCCAGGTGCCTGCCTGTGTTCCTGTGCATGTCCCAAAATGAGGAAGCGATAGATACATAAGTCAAACAAATCCTCTTCCTAGTTGCCTTCGATCATCACAACAATAGAAACCAACTAAGGAAACAGACCTGCAAGCTAGTAAATCAACACCACTGTTTTGCAGATTTCCAGTTAAGTTTCAACAGCATAGCATTGATTTTTTTTTTGTCACTTAGTAACACAAGCACACACTTTCTCCAAAGGTTTGCATCTTAGCCTTATGAGAAGGGATCTTATCTCTATCAACAGTGGCTGCTCTAACTAGTCTTACACTCTTTTGAGTTTGCTATTTCCATCTGCTTAATGTAGTAGGTAATTATTCTATTAAACTACTGTTGAAATACACGACTTCTGTGATATAGCTGTATCTTCAGTGTAAATACTGTGTTTATCCTGCTTTCTTTTTTTTTTCTTTTTGTACTTATTACCACACAAAATTTCATTACTTTCATTAAGAGAGCTTTGCTTCAAAATACAGTGATTAGCAAATGTTAATAAAAATAAAAGCCCTTCTTTATCAATAAGAATCTACTTAACTTTCATAAACCCTTTTCTGTATCAAGTTTCTAAACTTGTTTCCACACTAAACATGTGCTCTGTTTGGGACAGTGTACATTAAAACATCCTCAGGGGGTCTAAAAGTATTCTCTCTGTCCTAGATTCTGTTTACCAAAGCAAAAGAACAGCTAAGTAAAACTCTGAGGCTACAGGAAATGTTCAAAACAAACACCATAAAGGAAACTTTGTTGGGGAAGACTGAAATACATTAATTAAAAAAAAAAAAAGATAGTCTGGATCTAAGACCTACTATTCTGACTTGATAACTCATTCAGTATATTTTTCATAGCTCAGATTATCATATTTTTGTATTTAAGGATAATGAGAATATTCTTTTTTTCAATTTTGTCACATAACAAATTTCTAGGAAAAGTGAACTTATAGAGACCTGTGGGACTATTAAGTCAAATGTTCGAGAATACGGGTGAAAAGGTTTCTTTCCTTGGTTTATACCGTAGCTAAAGGAGTATATGATGTTCTACCACTGTAGAGGATAGGGGTTGCATAAAAGTTTACTTAGTCCTAGCGCTTCTGCTTTTAAAAGGCCTTAAAGTGATAACCACTGAATCAGTGTAAATGCTATAAAAAAAAAAATATATATATATATATACATATATATATATATATATATACACATATGTATATATATATATATAAAACTCAATACAAATTTAAAGGAAGCTAGGCACACAAATAGAAACTTTTAGATGATCACAGGAGGGCTGGAGAGATAGCTCGGCAGTTAAGAGAGAGTTACTGCTCAGAGAACCCCCCAGTTTGGTTCCTGCCACTCATGTGGGTAGGTTCCTAACAGCCTGAAGTCCAAGACTTGGAAATCTGGCTCCCTCTTCTGCCCTCATTCAAATATGCATATGCACACACAGACAAGGACACGATTAAAAATAAAATCTTTTTAAAAAGAGACTAAAAAAAAAAAAACTTATTTTTGTTTTCCATCAACATCAGCTAAAAGTTCTACGTTTCAGTATTGACATTCCAAATAGTATTCCATCTGGAGTGTCCAACCTTTAACATTACAATATGACTTTGTCATCTACAAATGATTTGGGCCACATCCCTAGCTATCTCAGAACACCTGTTACTCTATTCCAACCAAACCCATTTTGTAACAGTTTGAGTGACTCAAACATTAAGGCACCAATTGTGTCTCTAGAACCAATACCCCACGGAGTTTACACTTTGACTGTCCTAGTGGTGTATTAGAAATGGGTAGTTAAGAATATAAACTGAGACTTAATATGATAAATCAAAGTATTAAGTAGCTCGTTTACATTCTCCACAGTCCGTATAGATCAAAAGCAGGAACGTTATTAAAATGTTTTGGCTAATTTGAAGTTATATGGCCACTTATACAATACCTTTTAATTAGAACGAATTGCCAATACATTTGTGTAAAACTTTTAGACAGTACAAATAAACGGCCTTTTGCAAGCTCAAGAAGTTCAATAAACTCAGCTTGGATGGGGGAAAGAATATATTTCAGTCCAGTTTCTAATGTTAAAAGACAGCTGAGAAGCAGTCTGGACTGATCCAGCCTCATCAACCTTTAATCCTTCTGACTGATGAAAAGCATGAGCCGTCTGTTTATTTTAAGTTCATGCTGGTAGCTGCCTTTATTTTCACTTCTTTGAAATGTATCAAAGAATCAATTGCTTGGTCTACACAATCAGCAGGGGTTGGGGTGGGGCACCTGTGTGACAATAAACACGAAAATTAAATCCTAGAAAGAAATTTTTAAAAATTGGCACTAATACTCAGCAAAATTCAGTGACATAGTTGTCCAAATATCAGGTATATTCTATTGCTGTTACCTATTAAAAGCACGAAAGGGTGAAAACTAGTTTTAACAACAGGAAAGAACACAAAAGAAACGGAGGAGATAATATTTATTTGACACATAGCTAGGTATTTCCCACTTACTCATCTCAAAAACTGTGAACATGAAAATACCCCGAAAAAGTCATCAACTCCAGGAAGAGGAGCCGATCTCCTTCATGAAATGATTCGAACAATCTAAGAATTGCGCGTCTAGTAAAGCAAAGGCACAAGTGATGTAAATAATCACACTGCAAAGAATCTTTATGTGGAACTAGGGGAAGGGAGGGGTCTTGAGTCACCTAGGCAACGCATCCATCTAACGCATAACTTAGACCAGGCAAGATACCGGGCTTCATTAAGGTCATCTTTATTTATAAGGAGAATCTGGATCAAACTGATCAAGGCAACCACATACCACTCTGCCAGCAACTATTCTGTGAAATTTAACGACTCGTTTTTTAATTCCAAGCCGCTAACTTACTAAGCATGGTCTACAAGCACTTTTACTAGAATAATTATTTTAAAGAAACGATTAAACAAATGGCTCAGCCTGCAAACAATAACTCGGAAAATTCTATGTTAAAAGTACATAAGTAAAATTAAAAAAAGCTCACAGTCAGAGCAGTCTGAGTCTGCACATTTTCCCATTATCATCATAAAAGATCCCAGACGCGGGAGCAAGCAATCCCTGCGGAGGTGATTTCTTTAGATAAGCCCTGTGCTCGCCCGTTCGCCCGGCCCAGGCTCCGCGACCTCCGCGCCCCGCGGCGAGCAGACGACGGAGGATGAGTGTGCAGAACGCGCGGCCGGGGCCGGTTCCGAGCTCCCGGGACCGGCGGGACCGTTACCAGGGCGCCCATCCCCCACGGCGCGCGGCCGGAGGCTAACAGAGCCTGCGGGGCCCGGCTCGCCGCGCACACAAAGCCGGGGGTCCGCGCGAGGTGGGGAGGCCGCGCGCCGCCTCAGGCCGCGGGAGCCGCCGAGCCCAGCCCAGCCCAGCCCAGCCCAGCCGAGCCGAGCCGAGCCGAGCCGAGCCGAGCCGAGCCAAGTCGGTTCGACAAGGGAGACCCGAGGCCACCGTGTCCCCGACTGTACCTGGCTCCAGGTGATGAACTCGTTGGTGTGGGTTTCCTCCACAAGCGTCCACAGCTTGCTGAGGAAAGCCGGCACGTTGGAACTCTGCTTCATTGTTAGCTGGGCGCAGGGATTCCGAATTCTACTCCCGAACGCGGAGGTCGCGGCGGCGGCGGCGGCGGCGGCAGCAGCTGCTGCTCCCGGGAACGCACAGCACGCAGGCGCGGTGGGTCCCGGGCTCCGCCCCCTCGGCGCCGCGGGGCGCGCGGTGAAGGCGGGGAGACCCCGGGGCGGCACGTGATGGACAAGGCTTCGCGCCCCACCCCTGCGCTCTGCTCCCGCCGGCCTCGGCTAGTCCAATCCAAGGCTTCGGCTGCACCACGGAGCAAAGCGATTGGCTGCTGCCGCGAGGAGGGGTGGGTCCAGGAGTGGTTCAGCCTTCTCTGTTACCTTTTAGGAAGGGTCTTCTGTTAAGGGAATGATATTGGGGCCAGGGAACCCTTGTTTAGTCGATTCATATGGGAAAGGTTTGGGTACACGGGCTGTAGCTGGCAGAGTGCAGAAACGCCCAAGGGCAATTGACTCGTAAGTTTGGCTGGCGAAGAGTAATTTGCTCCATTCTAAAGGAAGAAATACATCACATGGGACCGGGAGCTGCTTGTGAGCAAGATGTGCTAGGCCCCTGGTTGAAACCATCTTAAAGATAATGAGCTTTTTTATTCACTTTTCATTGGAAGGTAATGTCGCATTTAAAGACACTTTTATCAAAACCCGAAGCATCAATAACAGCTCCCCATTTGCGAAGTACTTGCTATTATATATACTATTAGAAGCCAGCATCTGTTAAGAGCATCTTACGTGCCGTTCTCAGTTCAGCAGGCATCAGGTGCCTGCCATCAACCCGGTTCAAAAGCAACTAGTCTTTTGGTTTTAGAGTATCTAAGTCAAAATGATTGTTCTGCATGTACCTCACAGAGGTTTTCTCTGGCAAAATGTGATTTGGAACAGCTGCTTTAGCGCAAATTCCCATTTCTTCATTGACAATAAGACTTTCTACCTATGAAGAAGGGTAATAATGTGGATGTCTGAAAAAAGATTTTTTTAACGTGTTTTGTTTTGTTTTTGTTTTGTTTTGTTTTGTTTGTTACTTTATAGGTGATCATAGTGTCCGGAATCTGTCGACCACTCTGGAGGCTGAGGTAGAATTGTGGAGCAGTGGAGGCCAACCTGGGTTAAATAGTAAGCCCCAGGTAATCCTGGGCTAATGGCAAGAACCATATATATATATATGTATATGTAATGTATATGTATATGTAATATATATATGTATATATATATATATCCACATGTATATGTACAACTTTTTCAGTAAGCATATACTGAACATAGTCAGATACAGCACTGTTTGCTACATAAAAACTGGATGCATGATGGGGTAATTGTGATTAAAAAAGACTAATATTTGATGAGATCTTATTTGACAAAGGTTTTACTTGTCTTATTGTATTTAATCCTCACAGCAACCCAAAGAGGAAGTCTCAAAGGATCTGATTCAGGTTGGTACAAATTCTATTCAACCAATTGCACAAAGCTAATCAGAACCAACACTGTAACCAGATTCCCAAAGTGGGTTGGCTAGAAGTTTCCAACCACATTCCAATGCAATGATGTGTTGGTTTACCTCAGTTTGAGAATATTTTCAGTCCTAGAACCTCATAGATCAAATGGCATATAAAATCTTCCTATAGTTACATGACGAGGTAAAGCCCTAAGAAAGTGTTTCCTCTTCTAGTCCACCACTGCATGCTTACAAATATGCTTTTGAAACACAAATCGGAACAGCCACTTCCAGACTAGAAACTACCCAGTGACGTTCCATGCTTCCAGAATAAGTCCTGCCCTGTTAAAATGGCACAGAAGGTCTTTTGTGATCCTATTATCACCTTCCAGCCATTCATCATCAATCTCTGTTCATGTCTTTGTCACACTTCACAGTTATACTGCAGGTAACATTTATATTCTGTCACGTCTCTGTATAATTCTGGCATGCTGTTAGCTCTGTCATGTTACTTCTTAGTCTTCAGGGTCAAGCAGAATTCCACACAGAATCTATGATGACTCTTCTTGATTGTCAACTTGACTACATCTGGAATGTGATAAAACCCAAGTGGCTTGGTACACCAATAATGGGGTTTTCTTGATTGAATAATCTGGGGTAGAAAGATGCACCCTAATTCCAGATCTTTTGAAGTGGGAAGATCCACCTTAAATCTGGGCCAAAACTTTTGCTGGCAGCCTGACTAGAATCTGGAAGGAGGAAGCACTTGCTGTTTTCCCTGCTTGCTCTTGCTTTTGCTGGCAACCTTGGATTCCAAAATAAACTGAAGAACAGCTAAGACATCCAGCTTCAAGAGCTGAACAACTAATGAATTCTTGGACTCCACAGAGATAGACAGCAATTGTTGTACTAGCTGGACCACAGCCTGTAAGCAACTCTAATTAATCCCATATGTATGCTTGTATGTATAATATATACATAAATAGATACACAAGTCATGCATAATATATAATGTATATATACAGTGATATATATATATGATATATAAAATGAAAACATGTATTCATTTTATCAATTCTATTTCTCAAGAGAACCCCAACTAATACAGAATACATGTTTTTGTAAAGCCTTCCTTAATGCTGTATTATCCCATTTAATGTAACGGCACCTTTTTATGCTTCATATACTTTTTATGCTAGATTATAAGAGCTTACTGGATTTACACTAGATTATGAACATATTTAATAGACACATAGTGTCCATAATGCTTTGTGTACATTCACCTCTCTAATATTTGTTAAATAAATCAATGAATACATAAGCAGACAAACTCTAACCATCTGCTTCATCTTCCGTGACCTCCAGCTCTGGATTAGTTATTCCTCCCGTGGGCTCCCGAAGCTTGTGGAACTCTGGCTTCATAAAGTTGATCATACTGCAGTTGCTCACTTACTTCCCAGCACCCTCATCAGTCTGCTTACCCTGTGCACCCTGTGTATTTAGTACTAAACACAGTGCTAATAACATAGGAACTGCTGGATAAATATTTATCACATGAATAATTTCAGCTTTAGAAAGTCATTTGGATAAGAGGTTGTCTACCTAATCATCAGAAAAGCCCTTTTGATTTACTGTCAGTCAGTACAAATCTTTTTGTTGACTAAAGAAGAAACTGGGGGCGGGGCGGGAATAAGATTAGTTCAAACTGGAGTTATATGGCTAAGGAGCTATTAGCACTGAGAAAACATCAGATTCTTGAAAAGGCCAGAGAATAATGGGATGTCACTGAAACCTAGGTTTGAGGTCATCTGTGACGTCAAAACAAACACCAGTAGCAAAATGCTTAAGCACCCTTAGGGAGGCATTTCTATAAGCAGAGAACTCAAAAGAAGACTAGAAAAGTCCACTAAAACTTTTCAAGAAGGCTGATGCCTCACTTTGCTCTCTATCGCTGTGATGAAACAGCATAACCAAAAGCAAGTTTGGGAGAAAATAGCTTATTTCCGCTTACAGTTGGAGTCCATCGTGAAGTATAGTCAGGGCAGGAGCTCAATGCAGGAACCTGGAAGCTGGAAGTACAGCCATGGAGGGATGCTGCTCACTGGCTTGCTCCTCAGCGTGTTCAACCTGCTTTCTTAGGGAACCCAGAACCACCTGTTCAGAGGTGGCACTTCACCCAGTGAGCTGGGCCCTCCTCCCACATTAACCATGAATCAAGTAAATACCCTACGGACGTGCCTACAGGCAGTCCAATGGAGGCATTTTTTTTTTTTTTTGCAACTGATAATTCCTCTTCCCTGCTAATTCTAACTGGTGTCACGTTGTCAAAAAAAAACTAACCAGGGTGATTGGCCCCTTGTCAATTTGGCACATCAGTACAACTCTACTAGATAGTAATTTCTCCTTTTTTGTTTATCCCTAAGATCCCATGCTAATATCAATATAATAATATAAACATTCCAACTTTTAAAAGTCCTGTAGTGTTTAAGAAATTCAAATATTTTAAATGTCCAATCTCTTTAAAATATTCAAAGTTTATTAATTGTGGGTGCCTGAAAATCAAAAAGAAGTTAAACATCTTATTTCAAGAGGGACGAATCAAAGTCCAGTCACAATCAAAGTCAAACCAAGCTTCGGTGATGTAAATCAAATCCTATAGCTCCATGTCTTGTACCTGGGCTCCAAAGAGCTTGGGGAGCTTCCTCTCTCGGAGTCTCCATTCACACACAGAGCATGCGGCCTCTCCTGTAACTGAGGCCGACAGCATTCGACACTTGCTGCTTTTCTTGGCAATCATCCTGCCATCTTCATGTTTGTGTCTATACTGCTCCTGAGCTAAATCTTCACTAATAGCCTCTCCTGGGCCCTCTCCAGGGACTCTGAATCTGCCATGTGGTGCCAAGCCTCAGCTCCTCTCTCTGACCCCTTAAACCCTGGGGTTGCCATTGTAACCGAGGCTGCACCATCACCAATGCCCTGGACTCTCACAGTGCAGCTCCTCAGCTGTTCTCCAGGATCCCTTCATGTCTTCAAAAGCAGTGTCACCTGAGAGACTTACACAGTACCAAATCCAGCTGACAGCATGAGTTGCAGCCTTGGCCCTGTCTGACCACAGCTTCTCTGTGCTGACCAGGAGAAAATACTTCCAGAAAACTCAGCTTCAATGATGCTAGTGTCTTCATAATCACACAGCTGACTTAACCCTTGCTAACCTGAGTCATTTGTTCCAGTAAGAGTTTCACTTCGGTGGTATTGGTCTCTTCTTAATCCCAGCTGATTCTTTAACTCCAGCTGACACCAGATTCTTAATACAAAACATCGTATCAATGGCTCCTATAGAAACTTTGAGGGACTCTCAAACTTCCCTCTGAAGCCAGGCCTCCATTGTCTTCAAGACAATGTCCTGTTCTCACAGTTATCTTCCAAGTCTCCACAACAGTTCATTAATCCCTAAACACTCATTTACTCATTGTTTTTGCCAACTGGAGGGTTCAAACTCCTTCCACAACCCTCCCCTAAATAACAGTGGCCAGATCTGTCAAGTCAGTCCCTGCTCTTGGTACCAACTTTTGTCTTAGTTTGCTTCCTACTGCTGTGATTAAACATCATGACCAAAAGCAACTTCAGGAGGAAAGGATTTTACTTCAACTTCTATTTGTGTCCATCCTAAAAAGAAGTGAAGGCAGGAATTTCAAAGCAAGAACCTGGAAACAGGAACTGAAGGGGGAGGGGTCTGGCAGGGTGGGGCATGGAGAAGTACTGCTTACTCATTTGCTTCTATAGCATTCTCAACCTAGCCCAGGAATGGCTCTGCACATAGTAAGCTAGACCCTTCCACATCAGTAAAATACCCTACAAGCAATCTGCGGGAGGTGTTAACTGAAATTCTTCTCAGATTCAAGGTGACCAAAGCACTAACTAGCACAGCTGAACAACAACTTTTTTTTTCAAAAGGCCATAACGTGTCTGTGACAGACACATAGCTGTGGTAGGGAATGCGTTAGCGTGATTTGCAGCAGACGTGGGTTTAAAATGCCATATTACGTTGAATTTGTTAGAATCCAGCCGACTTTCCAGTTCGGACAGTGATGTACTCTAGGCTTGTGCAGGGCATATCTTAGTATTGAAAGTCCTATGGCCCAAACCAACCAGTTAGTCAGCGCCACTCCAATCTCTTCCAGTTATTGATGTTGGACAGACAGCAAAATTTGTCAAGTTAAGCATCTAGTGTGGATAGATGATATAACCACTTTAGTATCGGCTGCCAGAGTACCTGGGAGCAGAGAACTTCAACTGAGAAACTGCCTCCATTACATTGGCTTGTGGGCATGTCTGTCAGGCATTTTCTTAGTTACTGCTTGATTTAGGATGGCCCAGCCCACTGTGAACAGGGCCAGCCCTGGGCAGGCAGTCCTAGATTCTATGAGGAAGTTAGCTGAGAAGGCGAAAGGAAGCAAGGCGGTAAGCTGCATTCCTCCACGGTTACTGCCTCAGTTCCTGCCATGGTAACCTGTAATCCAGATAAACCCTTTCCAACCCTGGCTGCTTTAGGTGATAGTAATCATCGCAGGAACAGAAACCTAAGTAGAACACAGGCTTTAGCCTTTTTGAAAACAGAAGTGTGGTGCTCTTTGACAGACCCTTCTGAGGACTGCAGATAGATAGATGAAATCTCTGTATCCTACTTAAAGTACTGATAGAGGTTTGCTGCTTAGAAAGAGAAGAGGTTCAGACAAGTAAAAAGTCTGGAAGCCTCAGGAAAAGGAAGTTAGGTGGTAAGTGAGTGCCTTGAACTCTAAGCCTTCTGTACTTTTCACCAGAATTGAATCAGACTAAGGCTACAATTTCCATTCCTCATCTTTCCAATTGAGGGTGCAGGTGAAGATAAAGGAATTTGTAGTTCATTTTCCTAAATAATGGGATTTAAGTGATCTTTTATTCCAAATAATCTTATCACAGATATCTCTGAAAACAGAGCTATTTGAACCACCTCAAATATTAAATGATTTGTGTATGGACTGAGATCAGATGTATACTCTTAATTTGAATACTAGATTAAAATGTAAATATTTGCTTCTGGAAGATGGAACTATTCTCGTGGATATGTCATGATCTGAGAGGTTTATGGGAGGGTAATATTGATGGGAACTGTTGTGTTTTATAAAAATATAAGGAGTTAAGGGAGATGTCTGATGGATGTGCAGTCAGGTGTGGGGGAAGGGGTCCTCTGTGGGTCCATGTTGAGGTATTCATTCCCCCCAAGGGACAGTATAGAATAGGTATAGTATAGAATAGAGTTTATTCGGAGCATAGGGAGGGGAGTTGGGAGAGGGGGGTGTGGGAGGAAGGGGAGGAGGAGGGGGGGGGGGAGAGAGGAGGAGAGAGGAGAGAGGAGAGGAGTAGAGGCGGCCATGAGCACGTGGAGAGAGGGGGGAGGGGAATGGAGGAGGGTAAGGGGCAAGAGGACAGAGCAAGAGCAGGAGAGCAAGAGAGAGAGAGAGAGAGAGGAGGGGACAAGCAGCCCCTTTTATAGTG